AAAAAAAAAAAAAAGGTAAGCTCTCAAGAACATTAACATCGACTAATTAATTATTAAGAGTCGCGACTCTCGGCACCTCCACCGGAAACTCATGAATCTCGTCCACCCAAGGATTCTTCTCCTTAGCCGGGTCGATCCTCCTCAACGCTTTCCAAACCGCGCTATTACACTTGAATCCCGACCCGAACGCTATTTGCCACGTCCGATCCCCTTTCCTAACCCTACCTTTGGCCTCAGTGTACGCCAGCTCGTACCACAACGAGCTACTCGAGGTATTCCCAAACCTATACAAAGTCATCCTCGAAGGCTCCATGTGCCACTCGCTCAACTCCAAATTCTTCTCGAGCTCGTCCAACACCGCCCTACCACCGGCATGGATACAAAAATGCTCGAACGCGAGCTTGAAGTCCGGAATGTACGGCTTGATCTTCATCTTGAACACTTTCCTCGCGACAAGCGTGACAAAGAACAACAATTGCTCGGACATTGGGAGGACGAGTGGGCCGAGGGTCGTGATGTTGGTCTTGAGCGCCTCACCGGCCACGGCCATGAGGTCTTTGGAGAGGGAAACTCCGACTTTGTGGGAATCGTCCTCTTCTTGGAAGACGCACGAATAGCTACGGTCGTCCGCGCCCTTGTGGGTTCGGACGGTGTGGATGAGTTGGTATTTCGAGCGCTTGCGGTCGGATGACTTGTTGGAGAGGAGGATGGCGGCCCCACCCATTCGGAAGATGCAGTTCGAGACGAGCATCGACCGGTTGTTTCCGAAGTACCAATTGAGGGTGATGTTCTCCATGCTCACGACCAAGGCATATGAATTGGGTTGCACCTGTGTAATATTTTTTTTTGGAAATTTGATTAATATTTAATGATTTTGTTATCTTAAAAGATTGATTGATATTTTAAGGCAGCAAATGCAAAACATGGAGAATTGAAAGTGTTAGTTGACAGTTGGAGAGTGTTATTAAATGAAGGCAGTTCAATTGGTCACAAGAGTTCAGGGCCCATATATCAAACCTTAGCTGGATGTATGATATATCCTTTCTCCTACTTTAATACTAGTTAATTAATACAATCATCAAGCATGTATGTGACTTATTTATTACCTAATTATATATATAGGAATAAATTCAATTTTGCTCCGTTTATTTGTCTAAAGTCCATTTTTGTTACACTGACTTACTCTTTATAAAAAAAGAGTAACTTATGTAACAATCTGTATCATTTTTAGGTTCATTTATTCCAAAAAATAATGAACCATTTTTGGAATAATGTCCGAGTAGTGTTACAAATTGCAACATAACATACTGTCACTGACGAATGTAAAGTTAGTGTACCGAAAAATGACTAATTTAGACAAGTAAACAGATCAAAATTGAATTTTTGCCTGTATATATACTTGAGAGTTATTATTGAATTCAAGTAATTATGGGTTGGCTATCAATGATTAATAAAAGCACACATAGTAGTAGAGAACATTAATTAGTATAGAATTAATTAGGAAAGAAAGCAACCTGGAGGAGCTGTTTGGCAAGGTCAATGGAGATGAGCCCAGCACTGCACCCCATCCCACCAAGATTATAGCTCAAGATATTCCCCCTCAGCTTATAATGATTAATCACCATGGCCGAAAGAGAAGGCGTCGGGTTAAACAGGCTGCAATTCACGACGAGTATCCCTATGTCCTTAGCCCGCACCCCCGTCTTGGCGAGCAACTCGTCGATGGCCCCGAACATGACCTCCTCGGCCTCGCGCCGGGCCTCGGCCATGCACGGGTTCGCCGGGACCCGCATGATGGCGTCCGGGAAGTACGTCTTCTGGCCCAGACCCGACCGCTCGAGTATCTTCCTCTGGAAGTTGAGGTTCTCGTCCGTGAAGCTCCCCGCGAGCTTCGACTTGTCCAGGAACATCTCCTTCGTGCACATGGAGGTCGGGCCGGGCTTGTAGCACGCGAAGTCGAGAAGGTAGACCTTTCTGGGCCGGGTCATGAAGTAGAGTGTGGCGAGGAACACGGCGAGGGCGGAGCAGAGGACGACCGAGACGAGGTTGAACTTGAGGTGGGCCCACAGGGCGGCGAGGTCGTGCGCCGTGAGGGTCGACACGTGGACAGAGGACGCGGCCAGGAGGGGGATGAGGAGGAGGTACATGGCGTGTGAGATTAGGTAGTGGTAGCCGAGCTTCACGTACTTGAGCCGAACCGAGTTTAGGAAGTTCGGTAGCTTGTTCGATTCCGGCTCGACCGAGATCTTTGCCGATCGTTCGTCCTTCGCCATCGTTTGTTTGTTTGTTTGTTTTTTTTTTTTT